TCCGTTCAATTTTCCGCCCAATTTTCATCAATTTTCTTTCAATTTTTTCACTTCATTCCCCACCCAACTTTCCGTCAATTTTCCATCTTCGACCGCCCATCCCGATTTTCCGTCCCATTTTTGGACGCCCGCCGCGCGACCACCCCCAGCGAGTTGCCGACGCCCGCCGGCGGCCTGCCCGCGCAGTTCGAGTTCGTGGAGCGCATCGGGAAGGGCACCTACGGCGAGGTGTTCAAGTACGCGGAGCGGTCGACGGGGCGGTGCGTGGCGGTGAAGAACATGCGCGTGGACCCGCCGGGGGAGGGCGAGGACGGCGACGAGGGCGTGGTGTGGGACGGCGGCATACCGTACACTGCCGTCAGGGAGGTGTCGCTGCTGCGGGAGCTCAACCACGACAATATCGTCAGGTGAGGCGGGCGTGTCCTGCGCCAGTAGGAACCGCCATTATTGCGACGCCAACTGTGATGCCACGTGAGACTAATGGGTGCCGTCGCAGACTCCTTTATGGTATCGCAATGAGTGTGATGACAGCGTTTGGTGTCATAACGGCGTCGCAGTTGGCATCGCAACAACATGTTTTGTATCAGTGTTGTGGTGGCGGGAGCGAGGATGGCGACCCCTGACTGGGCCCCGCAGGTTCGAGCACCCGGCAACGGTTTGCAGCCGAGCAAAGGGACAACTTGATGTCTGTCCCTTATATCCAGTCCGTCCATCAACGTCTGCAATGCAATGCCTAACGCCTCATCACCTCTGTGTGCGTCCTGTTGTTGATAATACTCAATCAGCTCTGACTACAACAGTGGCATAAGTTTTCGCTATTTTCGTTTCTCACCACTGGCCCAAAATGCTGCGCAGAGGTGGTGGCAGATACGCAAGTTGGAGCCGTTTGGAGCGAGGCCACAATGCAGATGCACGAATTCCAGCGGCTAAATATTTCGAATCGAGCTCAAACTAAATCCCCTTCTTAAGGACTAGCGTCGGGCATTCAATGTTTGGTTTGAGCATACAGACCCGTGCCCATAGCAGTACTGCAGTAATGAAAAAGTGTTCACCATTAAGCTGTGAATCAAGGCAACCTCAACCCTAAAACCATTTTGAGGACCCTACCTGAGGAGGCAACTTCGCCTTGTCGCCAAGGAGATCTGCCAATTTCGCACCCACAGGATGTGCGCGCAGGGATCGTGCAAACGGAATTGCCACAGTACATGCACACATGCACGCAACAACAGCAATGCATGGAAGCCCGCTCAAGAACTGAATCCCATTACCTGGCTGCGCTGCTCCTGAAAAACCTGCATCCGGCCCCTGAGTACACTGGCAGAACAAGCCACATTTCCAGCGGAAATGCGACGCCATTTTGGCACAAGCTGGCACCATCAAATTGACTGTGATGGTATCAATTAATACCAAAATGGTATCGTCATTGGCCTCGCCAGAAGCGATGCTTTCTACTGGCACATACCCTGTGACTGTGACCCCATAACCGGCCACTACATCGAGCAAAGCGCTGGCACAACCCCAAAATGATCCGCCGCAGACACCCACCCACACGTAATCACAGCCCTCCTCGTTCCCCACCAGCGAATGCCGCAATTCCCCAGCAGGGCATGCCTGAACCGCGCTCAATGCCACCCAAACAGCGCAGATCACATCGGACGGAATTCCTGTGAATCATGTGGATCAACGAGGTCATCTGCGAAACTTGCCCTACATATTTTCTCTTTAGCGATAAGTATTTTGGGAGCATCGTGATTCCATGGTGCTCCACAAGTTACAAAAGAGCCACGTGGCGAACCATCTCGCTTTGGTTCCTTGCCTCACCTGTCCTGCCCATCTCACAAGAGCGAAGGCTGGCCACCGAAGTGCTCACCACCGGAAGGGCGGCACTGGTGGAGATGTGTCTCATTTCAATGTGCAATTGATAATTTGTTCATTTGGAAATCGCCGCAGAGTTGGTGGGAGGTTCCAAGCGCAACACTATCAGGCTAAACTGTCGCGCTTGAATCCTGCCACCAAGTCCACCACGAACTCCAAATGAACAAATTGTCAATGGCACCTTCAAATGAAAGATATTTCCACCAGTGCACGCTCTTCCCGTAACCGTGTGGCATACCCAGCGGATCGCAGCACCATCCACCGCGCGAGCTTGTCTGCAGAACATGCTACAACTTGTGCTTTGCATAAAATATGTCTATGTATCGTTACCGGTCAGTGAGACACCTTGTTCCGCATAATAGCTTTACAATCCAATGTTCCATTTTTCCGCACAGAAGGCGCCGCCCGCGCCCGAGAAGAAGGAATGTCCTCTCAACATTATCCCATTATCTTCCATTGATGGCCCGTCCATGAAACTTCCTGTGGTGAGCAGTTTAACCGTTTTCAAGTGACACAATACATGTTGACCGCAGGCTCTTCGAAGTAGATATGAAGGGGAACGATTTCTTTTTCGTCCTCGAGTATGTGGAGGAGGACCTCAGCCGTTTCCTTAATGATTTTAACAGGTCCCAGTACAAGCAATGGATACCCAAGGTGCGGATGTCTCAGGCTTCAGTCGTGACAGCTCTCATCACGATTCCACGGCATGTACTGCAGTGGATATACTGCAGGCATTCAATAGGTGCTTGAGGTGATGGGAGACACATTTGTGGAAAGTGAATCCGATACAAGTGCGGATGGACTAATTTAACAACTGGGTGACTGTAGAAATCGCGTAATAGACAGTACCCTTGCGTTCTATATCCAAACGATTATGTGGCTTATATTGTAATAAGGGGGCGGGGTGATTATCCTACAGGTGCAAGGGCTCACCAGGCTTTTGTGAGAACCATAAACCAAAACATATGTACAATATTAGGACACCAACAACAGTAACAAATGCACATATATTCTGATGTGCACATATGCACATGAATGCGTATGTCAGTGCATCAGTGTAGCAAGAGTGCTTCTGGTTTGTAATTTGGTGGCGTGTATCTATATTCATGCGTTGGTGCATAAACATAGGCAACACATGAAGAGACCATATGGTCTCTTCATGCATGTTTGCCCTTATGCACACACGCATTTTGTGTCGAGCCAAGGCAGCCTGTTCTCCCTCATATATTTTCTCTGCACCCATTCGTCTAATGCCCACAACCCTGCGTTCACCAAAACTTAACAAGGGCGGTGGTGACGCCGGAAAAAGAGCCATATTTACACAAAATCTTGTGTGTCCAACTGCCAGTCCCCAGAACTCATGTTGCACTTCAGAACCAGCACTATGCTGAAATGACGTCATCTTTTAGTCAATGTTTTTTCAAATTTGCGATTTTGCATGAAATGCTCGCGTCTATCGAAAATCCATATTCCTGTATGAATGGCAAATTGCAGTTGCCAAGGCTCACAAAGTGACAGCTGCCATGCAGTTGATGCGGGGATGTGTCTAAAGATATATCGTAGCTGAGTGGAAATGCAAAATTGGATGCAGATGAAAATATTGCAACAATGGTTCTATTTATAAAATTTTACTAAAGAAAAATGGATGTTGGTCATGACTTGGTCCCAGTAAAATACAAACTGGCAAACACACATTTTCTCCTTCCCAAGAGAGTTGCACTTTGTTTTGAAACAAACTCTTCGCAAGAATGGCCTCTCAGCTGCAAAATAAAGTGATTGCAGCAAATAAATGGTCTCAAAAGATGCTGCGATCAGTTATTGAGAAAATCCAGGTCCAAACCCCTGCGTAAATCTTAACATTTCCAGGGATTAAATAAAAATTTGAACATTCTGGTCCTGCGACATTTAGGGTCCACGCGGTCCTGGGTCGCCCCCGTCCCAGGTGGTTAAGAGCGAAGCCATTGCCACCGCCGCGACGAGGGGCAGCGTCGCTCAAGTAGAATAGCGCTTGGCAAAAGACGTTCGACCGCTCTTGGATCCCCATCGTAAAAGGCCGTCGTCGCGGCGCCGGCGATGGCCCAATTGCCACCCTCCTTGATCTCAGATGCGCGGATCTGCCGCGATCGGAAGTACCGAGGTCCAGAACGCTCAAGCCTGGGCTCTGCGCGGGATATCGCTCCTAGGTTGAGCTACTTTCTTGGGAAGTCGCGCCACTATTGACGGTTGAATCGAGGCTTGCTTGCGCAGCCTGGGTCGCTATCCAGAACTGCCAATTCTTGTGTGCAATCCGCTCTGTTTTGCAGTCTAGCTAGTCTCTATTAGTGAGAGACAAAAGATCTGTAGGCCGTTTGTCCCATCTTGCCTCAAGTTCCTCAACACATCTCCTGCAGCATGGGCGATTTGACTTGAATGGGGTCCGACAGTGTATTGGAATCAATTGCTGAAACAAGTGGAGGACCTCTCAGTCTATTCATGCATAGTGTGTTCGATGTTCATCCACTGCCATGCTATTCAGGTGACATGCCTTTTCGTTTCGCCATTTTTCTTGCAGGTCTTGCTGTATCAAATGCTTCAGGGCTTGAAGTACCTCCACGAAAACGGGTACGACATTCACGCGCGATTGATCAAAAATTGAATGCAGTAATAATTGAAGCAATCATATCCAAGGAGTATTGCAATCGATTTGCAGCTATTTTTTGTGCAGTATGGGGACGAATTTTTTTCCCGTTTCAGTTAGGGATACAATAGCAATGTCTGCAATGTGTACACAAGACTTCTGTGGAGATTGTATACTTAATGAATTGCACAGGCCGAAACACAGGCATGAAGATGGAAGCAGTGTGTTGGGAATGCTTAGCCTATGATCGAACTACTGTCGCGTGTAACATTTGATGGATTTGAAATTTCCTCTACGATATTGATATCAATCAACGGATTCTGTTTTGTTTCGGAATTGAAAGGAGATAGAGGATTCCCACATGACCACCATATTCTTGAGGGAAACATCTGACCCCTTTTCTGCCCTCCAAAACAAACATTGCCAGAGAAGTTAATTGACGGGAATGGTGGTTGGATGTGTTTTGCGGGTTTTCAGGGTGCTGCACAGAGATTTGAAGCCAGGGAACATGTTAATTGACCGTACTCGGATGCAACTGAAGTTGGCGGACTTCGGTCTGGCCAGGGCATTCAGCCTTCCCGCGCGTAAATACTCACAGGAGGTAGTATTCTTTGCACCACTCTCCATTCTGCAATGGAGTCAAGCTTAGAACCTATCAGTGCTTCACTGTACCTGCTCTTACTGGAAGGCAGTTCAGAGTGCATTTGCTCTGAATTTGTGAGGCACTGCTCTCGCCGTTGTGAATGGCGGCGACAGGTACAGGGCAAATTGATAAAAATGTAGATTTTATGCAGCGAAGTAAAGAGAAATAGAATTACTACTATTCAATATGTATGTGTTTGTAAGTTGTGTGAGAAGCTGGCCAGAATCCATGGATTCTTGTTGGAAATTTGTATCGAATAAATAGCCTTCAATGCTTTATCCTTCCTAAGCATAGCTTACGCGTTATAAACTCCCCGTTTGAGCAAAGAGATGCATAGTTCATGGCAGCAAGTCTTGAGACATTCAAAATTTCGGGTCGTTCATCAATCGGAGGCAGGCTTGGTCTTTAAGTTTACGTTTTTGTGTTCTCACTTTTGTGTTTGCGTTTTTACACGTGAAAATTTCAAACTGCAAAATTGGCTTCTTCTGCGGTCAAATCTACGGCTCGTTTGGGGCACCCACGTTATATGATGTATTCGCATTCAGAGTTCAGTCTTCGTGTATCTCGAACACGTGCAACGCAGTGCCTCCCATGCCCCGGCAAGGGAACAGACGTCGTCGAACAAAAAGTCGTTTTACACAAAGTTTACAAATTATCGTTTTTTACAAAGTTTACGTATCATTACGCGTAAATGCCCGCAAGTATTCGGTGTGTATGCCGTAAAAACCAAGCCTGATGGGAGGATTCCCGCGGCGGATCATTCGCTATATCCTTTTGCGTTTCAGTAGCGATTTTATGTTGATTTCATGTTGAACTATTTATATTGTCATAGTAATTGATGCTGCTTCGTGCGCAAGGCACCTGCTCCGTATGTCGCATTTCCTGATCACACTGTCGCATGAATTGGTGACATTGTGAGTCGCACACCTGCTGCAGAAGCGCCACAGGACAAATGAAATAATTCAGCGGCGGATTTCCATATCTCTCAGCCCCTGGATTTGGCAATTGGATCATTGACCAAAGTGATCTAAACTCCGATTGACCGCATTTCTCCTCCGACTGTCCCTACCAATCATAGCTTACCGAATCCCATGTGCCCCCATTCTAATATTCTGAATTCTCTGGTTGCTGCAAGGTTGTGACGCTTTGGTACCGAGCGCCGGAGCTGCTGCTTGGTGCGGACGACTATTCATCTGCTATCGACATGTGGGCGGTTGGATGCATATTCGCGGAAATGGCGGAGGGAAGGGCGCTCTTTCAGGGGATGCACGTGAGTCGCTCGCGATGGGGCTCAGCACGTAGTTACAGCTATGCATGAAATATATTCAAATTCATTTCGCTTGATGAGGGAAATGCTCAATCATCTAGACATCAACGCGCCAAACTCAAACAGCAGTAAAAGGCGGCAATTTTTAAAGTGGGATTTGTGCTAAAAGTGCAATTTGCTATGCAATTGCCGTATTATTTGACGTAAATCGATACCATCATTTTATGCCATCGCTATCGCCATGATATGGTCAATTTGTGTTAAATGGCGTCGCAGTTGGCGTCGCGAAAATGCCGTTTTCTACCAGTGAAATTATTGAAATACTCAGAAAATTTTCGCCCAGATAGAAATTCACCACAAGCGCTTTTTTGCTAGCTTGGGCGTTGAACACACACTGGTAAAAAATCGGCAAAAGTACACGGTCCAGAAATTCGTGTACCGTGTTGCGCGTGTCAAAATGGTGTAAAAGTCGTGTGACCATCGTGTACCGATCGTGTACTAATCACAAAATACACATTTGCCGCTATTACACTGTTGAAATCGTGTAAAACCGTGTGATTTGTCGGGTTGTACATGGTGGTAAGGTGGACCACTTTCCTGTACTACACAGGGTTGAAAACTACACGATTATAGCAATCGTGCAAAATCGTGCTCTGAAGCACCCGATTTGTACACGAGATTAGCACGATTTTGTCCAATTGTACACCGTGTAAAATGGTCGAAATTTCACCAGTGACAGGGATTCTGCGCTTAACGCCACTAAAAGGCGATCCCTGATTGCAAATCTGCAGAAGGCGAATTCAGAGCAATGAGTAATGGAGCGCATCAGCGCGGCTCCAGAGTAATGGAACGTAGTCGAGCCTTCACTAGCCAAAATGGGCCAAAATACACGGTTTTGATAATCGTAAAACATGCAACACGATGGAAAACCGTGTAACAATCGTGTTTAATCGTAAATTTATCGTGATGAAATTGCTTCAACCCGTGTAGTAACGATTGAGTGAGTGTGCATGATTTTTGCACGTTTTGACGCGGTCTTGCGCGATTTTAAACGCTTTGAAACCGTGTGTTTTGGCCAATTGTCGATTTGCTCTTGTAGTGGCTCTGCCTTCCCAAAGGACCCTCGACGCCGCTTTGCTTTCGATTTGAATTGTCGCGACCAGAACAGCTCCCTCCCCGCAGGAAACGGAGCAGCTCATATACATCTTTCAAGTTACGGGCACGCCCCACGAGGGCATGTGGCCGGGGGTGGACAAGCTGTTCGAGCGCAACTGGGTTGGGGACCAGCAGCACGGCGTGAAGGCCGTCTTCCCCAAGTTCTCGCCGGCGCCCCTGCACAGCGTCGCCAGCCGCCTGGCGGCCTCCGACCCGCAGGGCCTGGACCTGCTGTCCCAGATGCTGAGGTGCTCGCCCAGCCGCAGGATCACAGCCGAAAAGGCGCTCAAGCACGCGTACTTTCACGACATTGGGAAGATCCTGGGATGGCTCAAGGCGGCGGGGAGGCCCCATTTGGGGAGCCCGCCGGGGCTTTGAAACCTCGAAATCGGGACCGAAGAGGGCACCCTTTCAGGACAAACTATACAAGCAAGTACTGTGGCTAGCAAGTACTGTAGAGTACTGAATTTTATGCCACTTGTCCCAAAAACGGGCTTCATCGAGTGAGCCGAATTTGAGCGAATGGCTCGCAGACTCGACGTCGGTCGTGTTCGTGGGGTGCGTGGCAGCAGGAGGCGGCGCGCTTGCTTGGGAGAGGACTGCCATCTGCGGACAAGTCGAAAAGGATGAAAAAGAAAAGAAAAAGTATTTTGGGTGGAAGCCCGCCGGGCAGTGGGACCCTGGGCCGGGTCCTCGCAGCGTTTTGGATTTCAAATTGACATTGTCGATTGAGCCATTGTTCAAGGGCCATCACGTGAATGGCGCAACGCAGCACTATTCGGTCAATGAAATGACAGTCAAGCCATCGGACAAAGCGTGGGAGGGGCGTCCTATGCGTGATTTGGGTTGTCCTATCACGCTCTCAGGTCGACCAGGGCAGATTTTGCAACAAAAGTGAAGATACGCGGGTGGCAGATGGGATTCAACCGGGAGTTTTAAGAGAAGATATATTGTGTGCGCACTGAACAGACAGCGTAACGGTGCTGCCGTGTGTTATTTTTCAATTTGGATTTAATGCAGCAGAGTAGGGTTGATGCATGAAGAAGGGATTTATGGTTATGTGCTTGTGGGGTGCTCGATGTGCCAACGGACGGCTTGACTGACATTGCAGCCTACGCGAAAACGCATGAGATGGGGATTGGTGATTCGTGGGATTTTGGACAAATGCGAGTTGGCACAGATGGGCTGAACTCTTTGTACAACAATATTTTTCTCTCTGTACATTACTGCGGACCAGCTCAGAGACGCTCTGTTGTCCACTCACCACGACTGAAATATTTTCAATCGGACTACAATCTGATTGTCAGTGATTATCATGTTTGACCACATTATCAACATATTAATTAATCTGCTGCATTCCCACCATCCAAGGCAATTGCGCCACTTGTTACGTACTTTCCCAACATGTGACCTCTTTAGGCATACGCAGACGCTCAAAATTTCAGTGCGCGGGCGGAATTCATCAACCGCATACTGTTCGTGGTGTTTGCCCCACCGCACGACGCTCACATTGGTGTACTGAAGGGGCCACGTACGCATATATGGCATGCTATGGCGGGCTGACGCAGCCGCATAAAATCTGCTGAATGGAGAGAATGCCGCCCCGGCCGCATCTGTTGCCACAACGCAACGCGAAGTGCTGAGACGCATTTGGTCCTTGGATTCTGAACGCTCCAAGTTCAGCGTTCTGTGGCCGTCAGGCCGGCATTCGCCAGTAGAAAACGGCCTGTTTGCGACGCCATTTGACACAAATTGATGCCATCGCAGGCGCTTTTTTGCCATCGCAATCACTGTGACGGCATCACTTTGTGTCGAAATAGCATCACAGTCGGCATCGCAGACGCGCCGTTTTCTGCCAGTGATTCTTAAGTGCAAAAAAACAGGGGGCACCGTTCTCAATGTAGACGACACATGTATGGACATGACCACGGTCGGCTCAAAACAACCGAAAAATGTTAACCCCTTCAGCCCTTCCACATAGTAACGCAACGCTTGGCCATTTTTTGTGGAGCAGCGTTAAAATGACGATCTGAAAAATAATGGGGAGCAGAAAGCGTAGCGGTTAAGTTTTTTGGTAGGAAAGGGTTTAATAAAACCATGGTACTTCCGGCACAGTCCCACCCCCAACCTGGAGCCATCAGTGCCATCAGGCTTGGTTATTACAATTATGCTCATGTTTTTGACGTTTATGTTTTCACCCTTAAAAACGTAAATTTTCGGAAGGGGCTAGTTTTGCCGCTATTTTTACGTTTTTACAGCTCTTTGGGACAACCGATTTGCACGATGAAAGTTGCGTACAATGATCAGTCCTCCGCCATCTCCAACACCCGCATCACAGTGCCCACCTCGCCCTCGGCAAGGGCAGCGATGGCATGGGACAAAGGTTGGTTTTCTACCCATTCCAGTGCGTCTGACTGCCACTCCTCGGAATTCCCAATTCTGTGTGTACTGTCCTCCGTACACGGGGCTGTATTTTCGTTGCATTTACACATTTTTACGCGTTTTAACGTGTAAAAACATGTAAATTATTGTTCGCGTAAAACGTACATACGTTCAGGCTTTACGGAGGAAAAAACAAGCCGAGTGCCATGCCCACCGTTTGTCACAGCCCAGCCGTTTTCCAGCCCCTCCAAAACGACATGAAATTAGCCGCTCTGTCTTTTCCGTGAACATACCACATTGTTTCGACATCCTGAACCGTAAAACACTGACCCACGTTGGTCTTGTCAGTGGAAGAAGGCGGGGTCTTTCATGGAGAAGACAGGGCGACCACTTCATGCCACAAACCGCCACGTCGCTTTTTTTTTCTGTAACGAGCCCTCCCTCGCCGGCCGTCACAACCCGTTACGCCTGCCCGATCCGCGTGAAAGCCTCCCAGCACACACCCCCTGGTAACGCCCGGCGCACCCGGTCGATGCGTCCCTTCCAGTACTTTACCGCAGAACACCCAGCGGTTTTGCGGGCCCCGGGGCCCTCTCGCCCCCGTCTGACTGAACCACCTGTCCGGCGGTGGGCCTTTGATGGGCGTCGAACCGGCCTGGGTGAGCATTCGCACCTTGGCGCCCTCCCCCCCCTTGCCCGTGGCGAGCGCCAAAGGTTGAGAAGACAGAAGAAAGGGACGGGCGCAGCAGGGCGGGAGAGGGAAGGGCGGGGCGGTCATGGACCGCGACGAGATGACGCCGCCGCCTAGCGGCTACCGGTCGCCGACCACCGGCCGCGCGCTGCCCGACTACAGCTACTACGCCGGCCGGGCGGAGCTCATCAGCTGGGTGAACAACCTGCTGGATCTGTCCCTGTCGCGCCTGGAAGAGGTAGGGTGGGGAGTGGGGGCTGGGGGGGTTGTTTGTGTGCGTGGGGGGCGCCCAGGCGGGCTAAAATGGAGGGGTGGAGGGGGTGAGGTTTATTGAGGCGTGGTGAGAACGGTTACGGGAGCAGGGATGGAATTAAGGGGGGGATGTTGTGTGGTGCGCGCAGTTCGCCTCCGGGGCGGTCTACTGCCAGATGCTGGACGCCTACTTCTCGGACACGGTGCCGATGCACAAGGTGGGGCGGCGCGGCGCGGGGTTTGGAGGATGGGAGGGCGCCCGGGGTTTGGGAGATCGTGCCCGGCAGGGCGGGATTGGCGCCCGGGGGTGGGAAGGGGGCGGGGAGTGGGTCGCGGAGAAGGAGGACGGGCACGGGTGGGGGGGAAGGGGATCCTGAGGTGGGCGACAAGCCCAAACCCCCTGGCCACGATTCCGAGGGAATCTCGTCCGCTCGGTCGCGCTCGACGGCGCCCCGGCGCGCACGCGCGGCGCTCGGCGACGCTCTTGCCGGCCCCGCGTGGTCGCGGCGCGCGGTGGCCGGGCCCTGCTGCCGATCGGCGTGAGGCGCCGGCCGCCGCGGGGAGCCAGCCCCCTTCTGACGTCGGCAGCGATCCGCGGCCCGCCGGTCGTTGCCCGCGCGGCCGGGTCCCCTGACGCTGGCGGGGCGGGCGTGCAGGTCAACTTCTTTGCGCACGAGGAGTACGAGTACATGGCGAACTACAAGCAGCTGCAGGCGGGGCTAACCGTGCTGGGCATGACGCGGGTGAGGATGCGCACCACACCGCCGACCCCCCTTTCCCCCCATGTTCCTCTTTCGCACACGCGGCGCCTCTGCGATGTGCCGTCCCCCACTCCAGCGATCCACCCCCCCGCAGCATTCACCCGAATCGTCCCCGCAGCACGGGCCGGGGATCTGCGCACCGCCGCTGGGCCCGAGCGCAGGGCACGGACGCCCTGGCCTCGATTCAGTGTCCCGGGCCCACGCCGGGTGCGCCGTGCTGTCTCGCTCCCCGGCGTGCCGATCGAGCGGCTCGCCGCCTGGCCTCGCGCAGATCGCGACCTGGTCGCATCGCGCGCGGCGGCGCCCTTTCCCTCCGTCTTCACGCTCGTTTGCTAATCCCCTCGCCAGCCCCCCACGCATTCGGCGATCCTTCGCCGTGCCGGGGGCCGTGGATGACTTATTGATGAACGTTGGCTGGGAACTCGGCGTTGGGCTGTGGCGGCGAAGGGAGGCGTGAGGGAGTGGTGTGGTGCGGTGTGTGCGCCAGGAACTGGACCTGCACAAGCTGATGCGAGGCGCCCCCACGGACAGTCTGGAGTTCTTGCAGTGGCTGTACAAGTACCTCAGGAGTGAGTTGGCTCCCTGCCCCCGCCCGCCAGCCCAGCCCAGCCCAGCCCAGCCCAGCCCAGCCCACCCCCCAACCACCCAAACCCACCCAAACCCACTCAAACTCAAGAAGGAAGCGCTTCATCTTGTGTTCTTTTTCGTTCCTTCATCTGCTTGGTTGTCAGCAGTCATTGGTGCGCTGCCTGGCTGATGGGCCATCCAATCCTCATGGCAAGCCCGTCAGGGCTGTTGCCCAATCCTGCTGTTGAAAATCTCTTGACCCTGGTGCCTGCTTGTTCCGTTGCACACTAAGCAGCCTTGGCCACATGTGGCCGTGTTCATTGCATGCTGTGGAGCACTGCACATTGTCCAGGATTCCCCAATTGCACCCAATTGCTGGCATGGAATACTGTGGGTATGTCCCAACTGTTGCACTTCAGTTCAATGTGCCCTTTGAGCAAAGGGGCTACTTTAGCAATATGTTGGCTCTGGGTCCAAGGGCACCCTCATTGCCAAAGAGGCCACAAATGCAGCACAGAGGCCGCAGAACTAATTGGTTTCCAATGGTGATTGATGCGGTTTCACAAGAAGTTGAAAAAGGAAGGGCTTTCTGATATTACTGATAGAATGTCTAACTTCCTGTTGTTTAGAAATGCATGCCAACTACATCTATTGGAAATTGTGCAGATCATTGCCTTGAAGACAATGAAGGGCAGCCTCCCGTGAAGGCTGTGAATTGCTTCAGTTGGAAATCGGTCTGTGAATGTGGACAAGGACACAGCAGTTCTTGCCGTCAATCACATCTTCGCAAACTATGCAAATCGCTGTCCATATGGAAGTGTTGTGCATGCAGAGGATTTGTGCTTCAAGAAGCACTCTGGTTGAATTGTGGCCACACGTAACATGGCCATGGGTTTGATATGCGAGATAACAAAAGATTGAAAAGAAGCTGTTGGCTGAAGGGCTTGATGTCCAGCAGATGTTTCTTATGCCACATAGTGACTCTGTGTGGCTGGATTTGGCTCCCTCCCACAGAGAAGAGGCTTGATGACACTTACGACCCTCGGGCCAGGAGAGCCAGCACGATTAGGGGTGGAACGGATAAGCTGCCCCCACCATTCTGGGACAACCAACGCTTTGATGTCTATGGGCGAGACAGTTGTGAGTGATGTGGGCTGGTGCTGCACAACTGTTGTGTGAATGCAGTCTTCAGCGAATGCTGGTTGCAGTCATGTTGGGTACCCAGCGCGACCGGTTGCTATGCGCTGCCTATCAGGCACCATCCTTTCCACATTGTGCAGCTTCTGCAAGGCATGAGACGCTGGAACCCACAAGAGGGTATGGAGTTGTGTGAGTTGTTGCTGCTAGCCAAAAGAGCTACGAACAAAACAATGCCCATTGAGTCACACTTGTGTCACTCATCAGCTTCCCCTAGTGTGTATCCGTGATGTTTTGTATTGCTCACAGTGTTGATGCAAGGATGGGAATCATTTTGGAGCAGTGTTGCACAGGTGCAATGGCACGAGCAGCCATGTCATCCACCTTGACCATCATCGTCTTTTGCTGTTCCTGGCCTTGCCAATAAATGGCCGGTTCATATGCTGCGCTCCTTAGCAATGTGTGCAAGGGCATGCCAAAGAGTGGACGACCTTGGTGGCATGCTTGGCACAGTTCAGAACAACTCCATCTGCCAGGATACTGATATTGGAGGGCCTGAAAGCTGGGCTGGAGGCATTTGCTGTGTTGTGCTGATTATCTGCCCCTCTTGCGCTGCAGTGAAAACCCACTATGAGCATGTCGATGGAGAGTATCCAGATCCTGCGCCGATGAGGTACTACTGCCAGCATCAAAGCAGAAGAATCTTTTGAAATAGCGAGTGTAAAAGCTCATTGACTAATTTTGTCATCACGCATCAAACACAGTCACAGAGCTGATGCCCTGTTACACGACGTTGGATGCTGACTGCCACCATAACCATTGGTCACACTGCAGTGTCTGCGTGTTCCTCATCAAGTGGCCAATGAATGGAGTTATGGATTGGTGTTGTTTATTCGAATGTGGCATCAGCTGTGTTGTTGTATTCTCTGCCATATGCACAAATAGGCTGGCTGCTGGAACAGCCCTGTCAACTCCTGCCCTGCGCCATGCCATCCAGTGAGGTTGAGACAAAGTAAATGAGCCCTGTGCAGCACATGGGTGCTGAGAGTTATGGTTTGGCCACATGGTGCCACGATGTGCGTAAACTGTTGAAGGCTGGGTGACTCCAGTGTACACACCGATCGTTGGTTGTTTTCAAGCATTTGCTTGCCCATAGCCTCCTGTTTGCCAGGACAAAAGAAACTGAAGACACTGCACAACAACGTCAAAGCGCCAAATCCTGTATGTTGTGATGTCAATTTTTGAACCATGATGTTATGAATTGTGAACTCTGTATTGTGAACACGATTATTAATTGTACCATTGCTTAGCATCAGCTGACATACACAGATCATCGTGACCAAGTTGTTCCACTTCTCAAACCTCTTGCCCCTTGTCCAGTTGTGAGCTCTAGGGGTCCTCACAGAAGTAAAATCGTTGCCGCTTTCGTGGTTGCACCCCCCACCTGTTGATTCTGTGCAGCACGTGTATCAACAGCATTGTTGGTGTAGTGCGCTGACAGATGATTGGGTGTGGGAACAATGCATGATCAGGCTCCTTGCATTCTCACGCCTGTGACATAATGGTGCCATGGGCAGCTAAATGGCGCAAGCCAAAGTCATGGAACCCTATGTATCAGTAGTAATCCCTTATTCGAATCGTCCAGTGATCAGCTGGGCAGGCCTTCAGTTATGCCAGACAAAGCTTTCATTGTTCTCAAGCGCAATGGTGGGTAGCTATGCCATTTTGCCATGTCATTCATCTGTGGTGGTGCACAGGCTGCAAGGGTGTCCTTGGTGGTCCCTTTGCACCTTATTGCACAGTGCTAACTGATGTTATCTCTGAACAGAAAATCGCGAGCCAGTCCAGGCCACCACCGCAGGAAAGAGGTGAGCTGATATCCAACGAGAAAGGATAATGTTGTGTTGCTCACAATGGCTGCAGAAGTGGTTGTAGTCTTTGACCATAATTGATCCATGCACTGCACTGGCATACAGTATGGCATTCAGAGATGAAAGGTTTTACAAAGCATACAACTGCAGTGACAACATTGTCCGCACATGACAAAATACGGTGTCTATGTGATGCAGATGGTGTATTGTCAAGGTGAACCTGGCGACAATGAACAACAGAACGCACAACACAACAACACAACAGTGCACTTTTGATTTGCGGCTCAGCGCATAGTCCATCCTCTGCAGTCCGTTTCCTGTGTCTGGGTGCAGCATAGGGTGAGAGTGTGCCACCCACCGCTGGTCGCCACAGTGGCGATGTGGCACTTGGTCATGTTTTGGAAGCTGCAGTCGGTGAAGACTTGGTCAGATCGATTGATCTGGTTCTGTTTGCCCGTTCGGCAGCGTGGCGTCCACCGCATGACGTCTGGCGACCAGTCCTCTGCTGCTCCCACCGAGACAACGGAGTCCAGGCTGGAGGAGGTGCAGGAGGTCGATGAGTTTGAAGAGTCTGAGGTGGGAGACAAGGCAGAGAGCCAGGAGCCCCCCATGGATGAGGCTACCTCTGAGAAGCGGGCACCCTCTCCAGTGGGCTACTCTGTTGACATCCGGGCAGTGAGCAGCGAGACGAGAGTGGAAGATCGGCCTGCACCTGTGTCCCGCAGGTGACCCTTCCAATCATTAAGATTCCTTAGCCGGCACCCAACTAAGAAGTTGGTCATGGCACCTGTAGTACACCGAAACAGAGACTGTCGAGTGTGGTCAAAGCAGGATTCGTGTTTGGATGCAGTATTGGTAACCCTTGGGGACTGCATAATCAGCTGGTAGTTATATTGTAGGTTGTTGTGTCCATATGTGGCTGCAGTGCTCAAGAGCTGTCACTGCCGTTTGATGGTCTGCATTTTTGAGCTAGGAATTGGTTCTCTTCCTCTGATTGTATTCATCCACATGGACAGACCTGGGCACCTATGAGGTGATGAACAGTGCATTGCCCCAACCTGCACACGAGAACTGTAGTCCCCAGCATAGTGTTCTATTGAATCCATTATCGATCCAACACGTTATCGATCCAACGCTGACGGCATGCTTGGCCGCCAACTGTGACAGCAGAGGAATTTCTGCAACATTTTGTACAGAATCAGTGTACAGGAATACACATATTCCACCATTTTTTCTGAGTTTTCAGTAGTGTGGTATGATCTACAGTTAAGAAACTGAATCGCACTGCATTCATGTCAGGAAAGAGGTGCCTGTGCCTGATATTTTTTTCTTGTTTAGCAAGCGAACAATGTTACTGGTGCAACCATTCAGCAACACCCTTGTGGGCAATGTGGAGACGGTGCTGAAAGTATAAGTCCGGTGTCTAGCACCAACCTGGCAGAAGTTGCTTTTGCAGCAAATGCTTTGCTTCACTGGCTCCAATGGCTTGAGCCTCTTATCAGAACTGGTCATTCTGCTGCAGTGTTGCAAGTCTGTTCGATTCCTATTCGATTGCTCAACTTCCTAGATGCGCAACACCAAGGGAGCTAGTATATGGCTTTCATTGTATGATGGCAGCTATGACAGGTTGAGGTCAGTGTTTTTTCCAGGTTGCGACCCTTGTAGCCAAGTAGAATTTGCGATTCCACCATTTTGCAAGGATGATTGCAAAATCAAGAGTGGGCCTTTTGTGTGGATAACACGTTGTTCTGGAACAGAGCCTGATTACTTGGATAGCACATCAGTTGTGCCTTGTGCGTTGGGACGTTGCTGAATGGGGTGTTTGGCTGTGCGTGTGGCTGTTGCATTTGCGAGTGGATGACGCAGGCATCTACACATATGCGTGTATGACATCTGTTGTTTGACAGTCGTCTTCAACGCTGTACGTTCTTCTTGTTGCACGCATGCTGGTGTGCCAACCCATTGCTTACATCGACTCAGAGTGAACCAACAACCCCCAGCACCTGCAAGTGTTGTTGGGCTTGAGTCTGCGCACGTACTGTCCAAAGCCTATCGCCACCAAGTTCCAAGACCCAGATTCTGTCGATTGCAAAAGCTGCTGGGAGTCATGTGTGCTCGTGCGTTTGCCTGACGCTGGCCCTGTTCCCCAGCTATCAAGTTCCTTCGGAGGTGTCGGCAGGCGCCGTGGAGGCCATAACGGACGCCCTTAGCACCCTGCAGAAGTCAATGCCCAAGTTCAAGGGCCTGCTGGGTGATATGGGTGCAGAGAACGACAGTTACGCATACCGGGGCAAGGTGAGCAGGCGAATCTTCATTGATTTTTACATCTGCATCATTGTGTGTCATACTACCCATGTCACAAAAGGCTGTTCACCCATAGTGAATAATGCCACCTGCAAATGGTGGCAGTCAGGGTGGGTGTGGATGCTGGTAGTAGGCAGACTGGGGAAGGAATCTGAATCTGGTGTCAGACTGACTTGTTTCGTTGGTGTTGCGAGGTTGCAACAAGCAGAAAACCACCCCATACGAATAGAATGTAGTCCTTGTGTCTCTTGAAGTAAATTATAAGGCGCTGCATTGCTGAAAGACTGGTCGCCTGAGAATTAAGGCACAGCGTCAGATGAGTTTCGGCGATGCTGGGCGCAGATCTGAACTTGAAAATCTGAGCTTAGCCAAACTGAACAAAAGTTATGTTACTCATACACCACATGTGGTGACACATGTTGCAAACTTGAGGTGCACCTCAACGAATTGTTTGCTTCCCTTCCCGCTCCAGGTGCGCAGCATGCGTGACGTCTTCAGCACCCTGATGCGCCACTGCGCCCAGCTGTTGGACGACCTTGAGGGCCTGCACAAGATCCAGCCCATCGAGGCTGAGGACCTGTCCCGGCTGTCTGCCGCGGCAAATGAGATGGCCAGGATGGAGGACCGGTTTCGGGATGTGGTGGGGGAGTTGAGGCAGGCAGAGGAGACCCATCCCGTGCCGCAGAAGAGCACGATCTCGATAACAGAGGAGCAGAAGGGGTTGAGCGATACCAAGGCACTGGATGGGACGCTGAGGCGGGTGGGTGCAGCGCAGGCTGCACTGGCACAGGCGCTGCTGAAGGGTTCAGTGGAGGGGTCCAGGGCGATCCTTGATGCCGTCAAACAGGACGTGAGTTGTGGTCTGTGCTGTCATTCTTGTGGCTGCACCGTAACGTGTGTACGCCTTTGGTACTGGATGTAGGTTCTGGCACTGGACATTGTGCAGCAATGGCACAATGGCCTTGCCTTCAGTCCTGTTGCGGGCACCATAACAGAAGTTAGTTCTGGAATGACTAAAGAGGGCCTTGCACACAATGTGGAGAGGCAGCTGCCTCGATGCTGTGAGGGTGTGCCTATTGCTTCTGCTGCAGTTTATTGAAATTGAAGTCCTTGCATGCCAAAATGGTTCCTTTTGTTTCCAAGTAGTTAGTGCTGATGCTTCTGCTTATTTGCACAGTGGGATTGCTCAAGAGCTGTTATGCTCTGTTTGTTGGCATTAGCTGGCAGTCGGTGGACTGCATCCGCTGGAATGTGTCAAAGACCTGCCCTCATGCTTGCATTTTCTTAGGTTGAGTGTCTAGGCACCATGACACAGATGTCTGCAGGGAAAGATGGATGTGGATCGTTTGCTGTGCGGTGTTAGAAGCTGTTGTGGCCCTTTGGGAAGAGTCAATGCCTGTCTGGAATGCACAAATTGCCGTCCTGAGGCTCTGTCTGCTGGGAATTGGACAACTTTCTTCTGTGTTTACTCTTTGCTCCTGTATTGTTAATTCTCTGTTCAGTCCAAATATGCCAGTATGGTGGCGTCGGCATTGTTCAACACGAATTGTGAGCAACTGCCAAGCAGTTCAAAATCATTAACTCAAGCTGACAGCTTACAGCACTTAAAGGCAGTCAATCCTGTCCTGCCTACATGCAGCCCACAAAGAATGGGAAGGATCGCAGTGAGGATGACCCACCAAAGAAGGAGTCGCTTTCAAGGACAATCCGAATTGGTGACTTCCAGATGCGGAGATTAAAGAATGGAGACATCTACAAGGTATGGATTAGACCATGGGTTGGTTGCTGGACATTCTATCTTATCATATTTTCAAACTTTTGATCAAAATGTTCCTAGTCTGGCTCGGGTTGATTCGATTCCTGTGCATCAGTTCTGTGTACCTGTACACACTTTCTTTTGACACTGCATTGGTGCTGCTTTCGACAGTGTGTGTGTGTGTGCAGCTATGGATCAGTGCGGGCTTTCCTTTCAGCTCCAGTGTAACCTTGGGTGCTGAAGCGACACCGTGTTTAGGTTAACGGGCTTGCAGAGAAGCCTATATTGTCATGGAAGCTCATGCGATTCATATTATATGGTGTACATGCATGCACACATGTTGTATATGCAGACAGGTGTTCTTCAGCAAAAGTTGATCATGTAAGGATGCAGTAGAAATTAAGGATACAACCATACCAGGCACCAAGAATGGGTATTCTTCAACCAAGAGGAACACACAGAAATATCATTGGGCCTATGTTGCATTCTGGATGCCAGATCAGGCACTTTGCCATGGCCAACTGTCTGTTCATTTTCGTTTTGGTTGTGCTTTGTACCATCCATAACTGATAGGAGAGGGGCTCGGTTGTGCAGCTCTGCAATGCACCTGGATCGGTCTGGTTTCACAAAATGTCTTGTTCAAATATCTCAGCATCAGACCAGCACCCTGGTGCCACAGCAGTTGCCACCATGTTTTCAAGGTCAGCGCAACGGCCCTATCTTATAAAAGATGATGTGCCTTGGCTTGCATTGGAACTGGCCTTATTGTGCTGTGCCATTGCAATTTGAAAAATTGGCTTGGCGCAGAAGACCGATTTGGTGCTGCCTGTAGCCAATGTGTTATGCGCGTTGCCTGCTGCACATGGGTGCATGAATGAGACAGCCCACCTGGCATCTAGCTCATGAACAGCTCAGAAAACAGTATTGGGAACAACGACCAATCTGAAACTGCACCTGTGCCTGTCGTGCTGGCACAAGGCATTTTTTTGTTGTACCTTGCCAAACCCAAACATCTTGGTCAGTGCATCAGATTATAGAGCATTGCGCCATCACTGTGCCATCATGCTTTGGAGTGAAAAACCACGGACGAACGGGCTGTCTTCCTCTGGCAGGGCCGCTACATCCGCTCAAAGAAGAATGGAGAGGGTGTGTACCAGTTCATGAACGGTGACGTGTATGAGGGCGACTTCAAGGACGACCGGATGGGCGGCAACGGCCTGTACACCTTCTCCCACGAGGGGCGCTACGAGGGCCAGTGGGAGAACGCGGTGTACGAGGGTGTGGGCACAGAGACCTTCGCCCGGGGCTCCACCTACCATGGGGAGTACAGCGGGGGCATGCGCAGCGGCTGGGGCGTGTGCCGCTACTACAACGGGGACTATTACGAGGGCGTGTGGAAGCAGGGGCTGAGGGATGGGCGGGGGATGCAGCAGTGCACGGACGACAGCAACTACGTGGGGGACTACCTGGCAGGGAAGCGGCACGGATTTGGTGTGTACAGCTTCCCCAATGGGGACAGGTACCTTGGGGAGTACGAGAAGGACATCCCGCACGGGTACGGTGTGTACATGTTTGCGAGCGGGCAGAAGTACGAGGGCCAGTGGCATGCCGGGAAGAAGCATGGCTGGTGCATCTACACCATCGAGACCGGTGAGATTGGTGTCTTGCCCTTTGTTGTCTTTGTTTCCAGGGATGTTTGTCTTTGTTGGCACGTCTTCTTCTTGATGGCATTCTTGGCAATACCTATTCATGGCAAGAAGCTACAGATGCATGATTGGCGGTGTGCGCCTGCAGTATATTGTCCCAGACTGCCTGTGTGAATGGACATTGAGGAGTCCGTAGTTGGAACCAACCAATAGCTGCCAGGGAATATGTGACAAGTGGGAAGGGGTTTGGTGGGTGGAGGGTGAAAAGGGGGAGGAGGGATGTGATGCATTGTGCACGATTTGATCGCAGATACATGCTGCCAGCGTGCAGAGGTGTTGCTAGGGTTGGGTAGTATATGCCATCCTGCTCCTGGGTCCTTGGCACATGGGAGCTTGGTGATGCGTTATGCGGATCAATTCATTGTGAAGAAACACAGCTATATTCGGCCATCTCTGCAATGTGTGGATGTGGCTAGATGCACACCTCACTCCCTAATCTATGAACCCAAAGTGCAGTTGCGAGCAAGAATGCTATCACAGGGGGGTCTGCATTCTCTCCACGGTTGTGTGTGGCAGTTCTAGCTTTCTGTGTTTTACACTGAGGAAACCTTTGGTTCAGTTGTGTTTGCTGACAATGTCGTCTGTCCTGTTATTTACACTATCACTTTCTTGGGGGTGTCCAGTCGTTACTGCAGTCTTCTTGCGAATACTGTAAGCTCTTTGGTACTCAGTGTGCCCTAACATCCCCCAATGCCCACCACTTTGAGAGCTTCAGGGCTGATCTGCTGTCTTGGGCAGTGACACATCCTTTGCCACTGCTGCATTTTTTGTGTCAGCACTTCCTGAATGTGGACCACTTTATCCGCAGGCGAGCAATGGGCAGGTGAGTGGGTAGAGGGGAAGCCCAAGTGGGTGCAAGGTCTGGTCGATGGTGAGGAGATGGACAAGAGGTGGACAGACGAGATCTGTGAGAAAGTGAAGATGGCCTGGAAATCATGCAAGAGCGCTCAAGGGGTGAGTGGCACTTGATTATCTTGTGACGCTACTCAGCAGCGAGATTTGCAACTGCCTTTTGAGGAGCTTCAAATGGTTGCTGCCATGGCTGTCCATTAATGACTTTGCTGCTGCACTACAGGTTGGATCACTGGAGCACAGTGTTATTTCAGCACCCAGCAGAGTATCGAATTCGTGCATATGTCTTGTTGTGTCTAAGTGGCGTGCCAGCACCTGGCCCATTATGGAATTGATGTTGGTGTACAATTGTGTCCAAATGCAGCCCGGCAATTTAGGCCGAAGGTGGGTTATGGGTTGCTTTATAGGCTTCAGGTTAAGCACCGCATTTTCTGTATCATGTGCACAGCTCTTTCCCATTGTGAAATGGAATCACTCGCGGCACGGAGAGCAAGCCACAGCATTGACACCAAACTTAAGCAAGTCGCTCATCCTGACGTTTGTCAGGTCCACACCCAGTCCCGGATGCTGCTCTCCATATTGCTTTACTGGATACAGCTGTTCCTGCGCTGCACTTGTTCTTTCATGCAAAACCCACCTTTGCACAACAGGCAGCAAAAGAGGGCGGCGATCGTGCCGATGAGCATTGGGCGACTGATGGCGCCACCCAGAAGGCGATCCGTGATGTCATCAAGAGAGCGAACGAAGCGGCGGCAGCTGCTCAGGACGCCCGAAAGAAGGCGATTGAGGTTGCGGCCAAGCTCGACACACTGGCGGCAAACCAGGAGAACAGCGTCACCACATTGTGACACTGTGATGTGTTAAGGTGGGGGATGGGGGTGGTAGGGAGGGGGCCGTGAAGTGTTTCTCGTCCCCACGTGGTGTGAATCTCTGCACCTCAATAAGGACTGCATTGTTTGGGCTGTGAGCTGTCAGGAGGGGTTATGGGGTGAGGCAACACAGATTGGCTGAATGTCATCATTGGGGGGAAGGATGGGGAAGGAGAAAGGGGACAGCAGGTTGTAGTTGGGAATTGGTAGCTGTTTCGAACTGTAGACAAGAAAATGTTGATTGGAAATGTGAACTGCTTGGCTGGTGCATGGTGGCCAACATGCCATCGATGGTCGCGTTGCAACCAGGAGGTTGGGGTGGGTCGTGTGACGAATAGTTCATGGTTTTGGCGGGTCAGAAGGTGGAAGCTCGTCAGTGGCAAGTTGATAGACACATGATGGCAATTGTCTGGATTTGTTTGCTGGATGGACTTGGGCCTGAAAGTACGGAAGTGGATTCCAGAGTTGTTTCCCGTTTTGGGTGCTTGCAGTTTTGGCAGGGTAGATTTTTGATACAACCTGGGATGCGACGCCGTTTGACGGCAGCAGGATTGGGCGCAGCTGTTTGGCAAGCACACAAACACACGCAGGCACACGTGCCTGTGAGTCAAGGACAGTCCAGGAACAAAGCTTCAGCGCTATCTTCCACAACATCTCGCGCAAATTGATTTGACTTGGCAGTAGTGTTAGCGACGAACGCACACGGCTGCGTTGGCCTTATCGAACGACTGATGCCACAGCACAGCTGTTCACAGCCTCACGAGTACCTGTGCAGCAGTCCTGGTAGTGGCGTTGCATGGGGCCCCATCGCCTCTTCTTGCATGTAGTGGGCAGGACCTCACCTGCTTGCAGTAGGGACAAGCGCATGGCTGTGAGCAGGAGGGGAAAACTCCACTCTGTTGATCTGTGCAGGTCTCCGTTTGTGGGGCTGGGACTGCCATCGATGCAGTGCGGCCCATCGTTCATACTGTGGAAGGTTCATATGGACGCAGGGGTGTTTTGTGGCGGCGTCTTGCAGCCATTTTCAGACTCTTGCTGACTGCTTTCTGTTCACTTGTTTGATGACAGAGCTGACCTTAGGCAGGGCCGCGGTTGTGGTGTTGCATGTGGCGCAGGCCCTCGACGAGGGGATGTGCGTTGCAACCCTGTGGACAGCTCCAAGGGTTTCTTTAAACGTTTGAAATTGCTTTGGATATGGGGAGGGTTCCTTTGCCCGGCTGCAACTCCGGCTGCCTTGGGGGGTCTTGTGCGTCTGAGCAGTACGCCCATTAGGGCGAGCGTGCCATCAGCGGGTTGTCCTGGCTGCGCAGTGGCGATGCTAGCGGCACTCCATTCGATATCGTGCACCCTTTGCATGCACATATGCGTGCAGCACAACGTGCCCCATGCAAACACCAGAGCAGCCGAGGTTGGCACTGGGGCCTGCAGAGACGGCGAGACCCATCTGGGGTCGGAACATTACCCTCATCCAGGCCTCGCCCCAAACGAAACTTGGCAATGAGCGACTGCATGCTTGCAAGATCAGCTACATCAGCTACGCAACTCGGTGACCGTGGCGCTCCGCCTCAATTCGCTTCTGAATGATTTGCTTATCAAGGTACATGATTTGCGTATCGTATTGGCAATGCCGTGCTTGCTGTTCAGCAATAGAAATACTCCATGCTGCTGTTGACACAGGCTGCGTTTATGCAGCGGTGATGATGAGCACTGAAATCACGGGTGCGGTTTGTGGCCAAGACTCTGTTGAGGTCATTCTGATCAGCTTCATCTGGTTAGTAATTCACAAAATGATAACTGAATGTGGTCAGTGATGCACAAAATGATGACTGAATGGGTTTCAAAACTCCTGCGCAACTGCGCCGCCGCTTGGGATGGCTCCAACATGGACACCAAAGCCTATCAATGGGGTGTGAAATTCACGGCCATGTTAATGGGTTCCAAGCAAGGGCGATGTTGGGTGGGCCCACACCGGCAGGTTTGGGCCCACGCTGCCTCCTCGTCGTGCCGAACAGGGCCATGGGCGCGTGGTTTCTGGCACCCCTGTGCCTTGGGCCAGCATCAGCCCGTCGGAGAAAAGGGAGTCTGCACCAAAACACGAGGTCGTACATCGACTCCACCTTCTCGATCAGTGTCGCGACCACCCGGCCAACATGGACAACAGCCCCCGAAGAAAGCCTCCAACGCCCAGTGGACGCCTGCACAGCCTCATCGCGACGCTGGCGGTTCCCTTCCCACTTGTTGGGTGGAATGGCTGTCAAGGGGTTGGACCTCTCTCTTCCTTGCCCCTGGCCAAGTGGTTTGGTAGAGCAGCGTGACATCCCATCCAGAGGGACCCAGATCGATTCCCGGCCAGACATCCTCTTTACCATCAGCACCTGCTTCTGGGATGATGGGTTGTACATTGGGGGCGGTGAGCTGAGCGGGATGGCTGTGGGTGAGATGGCAGAGGTGTGGATTCCATTTTAGATGCCCTGTATGCCTCAATGTAGAGGCGGATACTTGGCACATGAGCGAGACGAACACTGGGACAGACAATGGACATACTGTCCTTGTGCGGTTGGGTGGGTGGCGGCATAGCCCTCGGTTGCTGACATGCTGACGAAGGTATGCAGGGTGGAGGGGCGGCGACCCCTCAACGGGGACCGTAGGCTCGAGTCCACGGCAACTGTGACAGCCCGCAAAGGGACAACAGGAGTTCTGTCCATTATATCCAGTCCGTTCATCAACGTCCTTAATGCAATTCCTAATGCCTCATCGCTTCTTTATGCGTCCAACTGTTCATAATACTCAATCAGTTCTGGTTCAACAACGAAATGAATGGATTTCGTCGTCATCATTGTTGTAACTAGAACTGATTGAGTATTATTAACAACTGAATGCATGAAGATTTGATGAAGCACTAGGAATTGCATTAGCGACGTTGATGACCGGACTGAATATAAAGGACAGAACGCCTGTTGTCCTTCTGACTCGGCTGTAAGCCGTTGCCGTGGACTCGAGCGCACAATTCCGTGCAGGGATCGCCACGCCTCGATCCTGCCTGCCTTCGTCATCATCACCATCCGCATGGAAGACCCACCCCTAGCGCCCAATCAGAGGCCGCCTCCCGGCCACGTCCCCCCCCACCCCACAACCAGGCACCTGCCGCTGTCTTGCTTGCCCGCATTGCCGCTGCGGCGCGCCTTAGGCCGCCTTTGTAGCAAGCCTCCCCGCCTCTCGGGTCCCCTCCCCCCCCTGGGGCCAGGCAAGGCCCCCGCCAGGCCATCATGGCGCCGGAAAGCGTACGGGGATCCGTGGCGTCGTGCTCAGCGCATCCCAGCCCACGCCCGGCGCAGATCGTCAACCCCCGCGTGCGCCCATCCCTGCCCGAACATCGCCGTCAAAAGATCGGCAGATCCCATGGTAGGCGGGATCGTCGCTGCGTGGCCGTGAGCGCAGTGGCCGCCAAACCCGCGGAGAAGGGAAAACGGAAGAAGGGGAAAAAGGGGGAGGAGGGGGAGGCTGAAGAGGGGATCTCGCCCGACGTGGCCAGGGAGCTGTACTACGACATGTACCTGGGGCGGGAGTTCGAGGAGATGTGCGCGCAGATGTACTACCGGGGGAAGATGTTCGGCTTCGTGCACCTGTACTCGGGCCAGGAGGCGGTGTCCAGCGGGGCGATCAGGCTGCTGAGGCCGGACGACTACGTGTGCTCGACGTACCGTGACCACGTGCACGCGCTGAGCAAGGGCGTACCGGCGAGGGAGGTGATGGCGGAGCTGTTCGGCAAGCAGACGGGCGTGTGCAGGGGCCAAGGGGGATCGATGCACATGTTCTCCAGGAAGCACAACTTCGTGAGTGGTGGGGTTGGGGTTGGGTTGGAGCTAAAGATTTGTCACAAAGCGAAAGAGCAACGGGTCATGCCCATAGAAATCCCTTCCCAAGAAAGCGTATGCGAGACTCGTTGCCGTTCTGTAAAGAAATGATGTCGACTCTACATTGATAATTGATCAGCGGACAGCACACGCAACACAGGAGGGAAGGAAATATGCGCACAGGGCGTTGGGGGAGTGGGGAGGCGCGCAGGGCTGAGCTTTGTATTGACTTGATGGGTGGAAATAGGCTGGCCGGGGGCAGGGGAGGGAAGCAGTGGGGGTGGGGGGAGGTGTTGAGGAAATATCTCATGCCTTGCAATTCAACTACATCTGTCAGAAAGCCATAACCAGCAGAGTCCTTCTACCTCGCAGGCGATGTAGGCATAGCAGCTTCAAATTATTTTCACTGTGTGACCCAGAATCATATTTCCCACTCAAGCTCTTGTAATGCCCACACAAACACCACGATTCTCGCATTGGACATGAAGGTTGCTTCATGACAAGGAAGGAGGAGCAGGTTGCATGAAAAGTCTCGCAATGCATTTGCAGTAATCTCAAGATTGTCCTAAACAGAAAGAAGAGCGCACCACACAATTGGCAACCCCTTCCAAACCAAGAATTTTGCAAAAGCAACTTGTGGCACTCTGTGGCAGATTTAAGTTTTTTTTTTTTTTTGTTGTTGTCGCAGCTTGGAGGATTTGCCTTCATCGGGGAGGGCATCCCAGTGGGTCTGGGGGCGGCTTTTCAGACCAAATACCGCAGGGTACGCATTGCCAAGCTTCTCTCAGCTTTTCCAAACTCCATTCTTTAGTTAGTCAGTTTGGCAAGTCCATCTATCTTAAGATATGTTTTGTTGTGTGTGGCGTGTACAGTGCTGCGCGCAATTAATTGCGCTGCTTCCAAGCTGGTTCTTGGGCTGGCCTCCTGCGCTTTTGAATTCTGCAATGAGCCATGACATGGCATTGGAGGCAGTGCCTTAAGGGCATTATCAAAGCCAAAGTGTGACGAGGTGCTACCCTCAGGTCTGCAAGACGATGTTGGATGCAGTTGCATCCACATTGTTTGATCCACAGTGTTCTTCACTGTTCAGGAAACTAGCTGTGGATGTCCTCTACAAGCACTTGACCTTCTTGGGTGAGGGCCTGTGGACAGCGAAATCCATATGCTGATGGCAAAATATACCGGAGGATAGCGCCCCGCGTTCCACGTCGGTGCTGACGTCAGGAATGTGGGGGGCGCTATCTTGTGTGCCCCCATGCTATCTTCCGTGCACCCCGCATTCCACATCAGGTTGCTGACTCAGCAGCGCCTCCCCCCCCTTTCGTTATCGCGCTGGCCTGCGTACCGGCAGCAAAGCGTACCGGCACCCCACCAACTTAGCATATCACATAAGGCGGCATTCACGGCAGCAACCAAACTGGCGCCAAAAGTGACAGGGTGCCACAGGTCGCTGCATTATGCCGCACCGCCCGTGTTGCCAGATGCCTGACTTGATAACATTGGGCTGATAGCAGAAGGAGTGAGATGTAAGAATGTGTGAAAATGCTTTTGCATTGTGGCTGTACGTGATGTTGAAGTGCATAATGCCCCCTGGTGCTATCTTGCGTACCCCCGGTGCTCTGCAACAACAGCCATGTTTGATAATGCCGGGGGCGTTATCTAAAGGCCCCCGTGCTATTCAACACCCCCCATGCTATCCTCCATGATCCGCAGTAACAATAAAAACTGAAAACAAAACCCATTTTGATTGCCCGATCCCTTCCCCTTATACCCTACTCCACTCACCCACCCGCCCACCTACCCACCCCACTGCTACTAACATAACACTGATTGGTCTCCACAAGCCATATGCGAGTAGTTTGGGAAGGGTATCCACAGGGAAGAATAAAGCTGATGGGCGTAGTGGGCAGCCCAAGTCGTGAATCTGCGATGACCGCATTTGCCTGGGCCCCTGCAGTCCCCTGAGACCTGCAGTTCAGCTTGTGTGTGATGTGTTTTCTGTGTTTGTCACATGTGAAAACAATAGTGAGTTGACACAACAGGGAGTGTGACCTCACTGTAAACTACTCAGCAATGAGGACATCCGCTGCAATTGTGAAAAATGAGGAACAAAGTGCAGCCAGCACTACAATGAAAATGAGAATTGACCAGCATGAGATCGCAACAATTCTGCTGCAACTGAAGGTCATCAGCAGCACCCACAGCTACCTGCGCTGTCCAGAACAAAGGCTTGCTGACAATTCCAGCCAAATCTGCCTCATCTGATCAATGTTGTGGCCACCCGAGCCGATCACAGGCCAACCCAACAGAGGGTTTGTGGCCATCACTTGTCACCTTGTAGCTCCATGGATAATGTTGTGTCCAGTCTGGGCAAAGGCAGCATCGGAGGATTTGATCCATTGATTCGTTGTAGTTCCTGCTCTACAGGAAGCCCTTCAAGATGAGAGTGCTGACCAAGTGACATTGTCCTTCTTTGGCGATGGTACCTGCAACAATGGTGAGGGATATTGTTTTATTGCTTTCAGTTCAAGCATGCTGCTTAGATGCCAATTATGGCCAAATCCAATTTACACAAACAGCCAGTGTTCAGTGCTCCTACAGCATAACATGAAGTCATCTGCCCCTCTTGCATGCAATTTCCTGTGATCAAAGAGTGGCATGTATTGTAGGTGGCAGACATGCTGACGTGGCAGCACCAATACTATCCTTTTACTACCACTTGCTTGTGTGAGCTGTGTAGTGCGATTCGAGTTGCAGTTTTTCACCATCTGCTAAGGTGTGTAAAACGTAGAGACAGCCTCAACTGTGCAAGGCACAAAGTAGCGAACAAGGCAAGGGTGCTGCCATGGTCACAGCAGACCCCTGTGCGATGACCGTCCACTGTTCATGCATGCAGGCCAATTTTACGAGTGCCTCAACATGGCGGGCCTGTACAAACTGCCACACATCTTCGTGGTGGAAAACAACAAATGGGCCATCGGGATGTACCACAATCGAGCGACGGGGCCATCTTTTGGTGACACGGTTCCCAACATCTATAAGAAGGGGGAGCCGTTTGGAATGCCTGGCATCCATGTCGATGGGATGGACATTGTGAAGGTGGCTATTTTGGGCACAGCCATTCAGTAAATTTCGTGGACGTGTTGGTGTTGGCTGTTGTTCTTGTATGTTTGTATTGATTGGATTGTGACAGAGCAGTTTGTGTGGATATCAATCTTGGACTTGTGCATTTTGTGAGTTGGTCATGTGTCAGCGGTAGCTTTCGATCGACGACTGTGATGTTGTGCCAGCAATCAAAGCACGTCATGCATTGGGCGCTTCGTCCAACACTATGCACAACTCCCATCATGCCAGGCACCCCAGCTGCATCTTTTGCTGCTGGGTATGTGGTGCGATATTGTGCAGCATCTGTACCTTGGAGACATGTACACTACCTGGCATTGCATCAGGCAGACTCTTGACATCTGCTTGCTGTGGCGTGGGTACCCATTCACTGGACATTTTTCTCATTGCTGTGGCAAAGAATCTTTAAATCTCTCCTGAGCAACAATTGGAAATTTCGACACTGTCCATAAAAGCAGTTGCAGATCTGTCCCTAGTACGATGTGACAACAACAAAGTGAGGCACAGGTAGAACATCAATTTTGGACATTCAGAACAGCGTTGAGGTAGACAGCAACTGTGGGTAGTGGCCAGGGTACAAGTGCCCTGCCTTTGGTCTGTTGCAGTTTGCCCTGTCTCTTTTTCTCTTTTTCTGTCTTTTGTGCCCTGTCTCTCCAGCAAGCTTATTTATGTTGCTCGTTGAACTCTTGAATCTGAGAATTTGCCGGCCTGGAGGTTTTGCAAATCAAGACTGATGACTGGCATAGCACCGTGTGACACTGATTCCAACAAGAAAATGTCGGGTACCTGGGTACCTTCAACTTTCTAGTTTAATGCCCATGCGTTTCAGTTCATTGTGTTGATTCAGTTGCAAATCAACCGTATTGATTAAGTTGACTCTTCAGTTGATGTCCTGTTCTGGCCATTCTGATATGATCACTTTCAGCAATTGCTTTTGCCTGTCCATTGTTGCTTGTTGGCATTTTTGTTCTAGGGTACATTTGACATTAAAGCAGAAGGTTGTTGGTGAATTGTATCGTTGGCACCTGTGGCTCCACTGGAGCCCCCACTAAGCCATGAGTTTCGAAGCGCTTGATAACAGAGTTCCGCATTGCTTGTCGCCTGAACATCGCGCAGTGAGACATTTGCCCAAAGTGTAGTATTCAGCAGTCACTTTATCTTCTTTGTGTATATTCGATCATATTCCTTGCAACTTGAATTACACTTGGCGGCAGAGATTCCACAGCTAATTGGGTGCCATTCTGCCAGGTGCGCGAGGCAGTGAGCAAGGCAGTGGCAAGGGCCCGGGCTGGTGATGGCCCCACCCTCATAGAGTGCGAGACGTACCGCTTCCGTGGCCACTCCCTGGCCGACCCTGACGAGCTGAGGACCCAGGAAGAGAAGGAGCGGTACGCAAAACGGGATCCCATCCCAGCCTTCCGGAAGTATGTGCTGGACAACAAGATCCTGACTGAAGCAGACTTGAAAGACATCGAGAAGCAGGTGGTGGAGTGCGTGGAGGACTCTGTGCAGTTTGCGGAAGCCAGCCCCAAGCCGGTGTGTTGCTTGTATGATTTCGGTTGTACTTGAGTATTTATTTGCAGGATTTTTGCATCAACTTGAGGGTCCAGGTGCCACACCTGTCCGAACAGAAGATGTTTGAGCCTTGCGCCACCTTGGATGTATGTGCAAGGCAAGAAATTTAGCAAGGAACTGCTGTGTGCAAGCCACCGTGCATGCAGAAGGGGGCCCCACCTTTTTGCCAGTCATTGCAATAGTGTCGATCGCAACACGACCAGTTATATCAAACGTGTTCCTCCAGCTGCCATTGTTGGCTAACAGCCTTCAAGCTTGAGCCCTGCACAATGCAGAGCAGGGTGATGCAGGGTTGTGTGGTTTAACTCAGTTTTGACTTGGAACTGGAAATAGGGCAGCCAAATCAAGTTTGACAGTCAGTGTTTGTTTCAACACAAATCGTGCTGGTTTCCTGTAGAGCATGTTGCTGTGGTTTAATCTGCATATGAGGAAAACCACATAGCACAATATAGCACAGAATACGCCAGCGGAATACGCTTTTCAGCAGACTACCAAAATTTCGTGGCAGAATGAGAATGCATGAAGTGATCAATTGTTGCCAGTGGGAGAAGACAGACTGTGTGGTTAACTTCAGCATGATGCTTCAACAGCACAGCTAAAGCTCTCCTCAACACGTTGCCCCATATGTATTGAGCGCTGCCGCCATTGGCTTGTTCTAGCATTCACCTGCTCACCGGATGTTGAACACCGTCCAGAACACACAGAGAGCTACTGGGTTGGGATGTGCTTGGTCTGTTGGGGGGCACTACTGAAGCCACTTGCCTGTGTTTAAGTTGTTTAGTTGCCCTCCTGCTGCCCAAAACTTCATTGTTGGGGATGCATTTGCTTTGTCCCCATCAGTCAGCACACTTGTGCTGTATTCCTGATGCCGCACAAGTTAGCTGGAAAGGTTGCTGCCTCCTTGATTGTGGAGGTTGAACTTTGTACCCAGGCTATGGCGATCAAGTGACGATGGGCCAAACACCAACAGAATGCGTAGATCAATATTTGTGACGTTTTTGATCTTGTTGGATCCTGCTGCTGGGGCCTGTTTGTGATTGCATGTTGGGGTTTTGCACCCATGCATGCCAATCACGGCTGCCTTGACCCGAATATGAACAATCCCAGAGTAGCGCAAAGCCTCCCACCTGTTGGAACAACACCAGATTCGAAAGCAAAAGGGTGTTGTGAATGTTGGATGGAAAGTGCTTGTCACTGCAGAGAATTCTTATCAACAATATCAGCAGTGTAACAAGCTTGGAGTGCAGGTAGCATAGCTGATCAGTTTGCCATGTGCCATAGGCTCAAGGGAAACTCCAGTACGAAGCCCAACAGCCCCAGGGGTTACTCCTATTTGCAGTGCTGTCTATGGCATACTGTCCCGCTCCATGCCTGGTCCAGAGCGCCGCACTGCATTTGTCGTTGGGGCGAATGTGCAACAGCGAATTGCATGTACACACTCCCGGTGGCAATTTGGTCTCTGTCCGTACACTTTTCCCTCCTGTGCCAGCGACTTCATGCACAGGACTATTGAACTGTGTTGGATATTGGATATTGGTGATGTGCTTGCATTGCTCCTGTATTGGCGAAGGACTGCGAAGTTGCGGATATCCCAGACAATGATCCTTTCATGGCAGCTTGTGAGAGTGCCACCAGGATGCGACGCTGGAAGAGTGTGCCATTCCTTGTTTCCCTGGAGTGGTGGGCCGAAGGCATGTGTTTGTAAGAGAGTGCAACTGGCATGTGTGACAACAGGAGAAGGGCCAGCTACTGGAGAACGTGTTTGCAGACCCGAGGGGATTCGGCACTGCCCCAGATGGAGGCTACCGATACGAACAAGCTGGTTTCACGTCGGGAACGGCACAAGTCTCATGAAGCCCTTGATTTCACGAGGTAATGCAACGGTGCCTTTGCCTTCCCATTCGCAACAATTTTGGGGTTTTGCCGTGTATTGGGATGGCTGTTGTGGTTGTGTATGGCGGCGTCGCTGTGAGCGCTCCTGTGGCGGTGTATTTTTTTACTGGTTGGATTTCCACGGTGCAGTGACGAGAATGCTTTGGTGAGAGGAGCGAAGTGTAGAGTAGCCTGTGATGGAGTGTCGGAATGACTGAAGGTTTTGGCAAAGGGATTGATGAGATGCACTGTTCCTTTTGTCCGCCTCGCTCGTGCTTGGCGCTGCATGCTCTGTCTCGGACACTTTGCGCTTGTGCAAGGGCCCCACCTATTCGAAGCCTCAACGTGCCGTTGATGCACAGTGCATGTCGTTGCCGATTCTGGTGGGTAGAACAGCTTATTATGTCCACGCGCTGGATAAATGACGGGAGAATATTTCTATATATTTTGCTGACAGTATATCTGCCACAATTTGCTGCGGCTGTGATATGCAATCTGGGTGTTAAGGTTTGTGCCGGTCATTCGATTTCGCACGTTGTGCGGGGGAAATGAACTGGTGTTCCACATTTGGAGAGTTGCCGCCGTCTGCGCCTTCTAAACAAGGCTGGCGAATTGACTGACGGGTTCATCATACGCACTGAGACTGCGTCAAGAAGAAAGCGCCTACAACTTCACCAGTAGTCAAGCACGTTTCGTCTTTGTTCATGAGCATTATCTCCACCAATCACCACCATTCAGAATGCCGCGAAGCAAGGGCTGTCTTCTAAGAATTTTGTGCCACTGTTCTGCCACCACCCAGAAGTGCCCACAGACGCTCTTGAATAGAATGTCCTTGCGGATTTGGTCTGCAGCCCGAGTCTGCAAGGCCAGAGAGGCTGTGCTTTCGAAACACGAACTGGTGCCATGCGACGCGCGTTGGGCACACGGCAGCCGTTCACACATCCAATGCAATGCATGTGGCCTGGCAGCGCCAATCGAACTCTCTTCTCCAGCAACCGCATGAAGCCAGTAAGGCAAACGTTCCTCTGCTACAGAGAGCTGAAACGAACCGATTTGATATTCCTTGCATTTGCGTGGAGCATCCTGTTGTGTTGCTCCACAAAGAGAGTAAGGAAAACTTGAAGATATAGACATAAACTCACAACGCAGGTCGCACACTCAACTCATAGGTGGTATAGAACGCTCTCAACGCAGACAGCATCATTCAGCAGGGCCCTATGGTTTGGTTCGGAACAAGGCGCGCCGCAGGCGCCCGACACATGCAGCACCTATTTGGTAGTGTTTTTGGTTGTTGGAAAGTACACACATGCGTTTGCGGTGGTTGACTCGCAAGGACGGAAACACTGCATCCTGACACTGCCACCTGTCGAGCACCACCTGCCCTTGTCCACTTTGCCATCTCATCAATTCAACACATTGTGTCGAGTACAAGCATTCCTTGACACAATGGTCCTGGCATCCTGGGGTGGCGCTGCGCCAAGACAAGCATTGATGGAGTAAATGACATGCATTCAGTCAATCGCTCGAGACATGTGTTATGCCGTGCAAACGAATTGCAGCACGGCTGGCCGGCCCCTTTGTGGGTGCCCGCTGGCACAGTCACACGGCCGATTACCCCTTGCCTTCGCCGTCTGTGGCTCCGGCATGCACCCCATTGGTTGTTACACGAAATGTTGTTTTGTACATGCTGACTACCTCATGCGCTTTGCATGGAATCTGGCAGGCCAATCTGTCCGAAGGCTGCTAACTCAATAGAACGTTCCACCGGTCGCCCCAGCTATTCTGGCTTGACCAATTTCCAATGAAATCCCTTGACTTCCCCCGCTCGTTCCAATCCCACAACTGATACCAATTCCTCCCCACTTCTCAACCACAAACCTCTAGGCCAGCGCCCTGGATCCGTCCGCACGCTGACGTTCCTAGGGTCCCTGCCCGCTACCCATCTCCCTCACTCCCTTCTCTACAGCCTCTACCGCAACTCCCTCCAACTGCCCCACTGACTATGCGCCCCACTCTCATTCGTTCACAACTGTTCCCACATTCATTCAGAGTTCTGCTTAACAGCCTCATCCCCACACATGCGACGTTCATGCACATGACGCCTATCATTGCATCAACCCCACGCACTTCTACGTATCCAGCTCTCCCACGCTCCTTCCTCCTCCTTGTAGCTATTGCTTTACGGCCTGGGAAGGACTGTCCACACTTCTAGGGATGGGATGGGACGAGCTTTGCAGTTGGGGATCCCCATTCTCGGGTGGCGCTGGCCACCGAGGGCGCGCCACTTGGAATGGGCAGCTGTGAGTAGCCCGTCGCCAGCGGAAACGGCTCTCCGAGACCTCTCTAGGGGAGCGCCGCGGGGCACTTACCGCTCAATGTCCAGGTCACGACGGCGGCTCGGAGGGCATCGTGCTTCGCGAGGTGCGGCAGAGGGGATCCTTGAATTCCTTGACCGAGGCGCGCCTGGAGCAGCGACGTTTTGATGTTTGGGGTGGACTGTACCTTGCAAGGCTGAGGGTGCTGGCAACAGCGAAAGGACCTAACGTGTATTGAGTTCTCCAGGTCCGCGTGTGCACGGGGGACAGACGGACAGTGGCGATTTGATGGGCGTTGCGTGGACTGGGGCGTCGGGTGTTGGGGCGCGTTCTCCCTCGTGAGCTGCGAGCCGTGTTGTTGGTTTGGAAGTGGGGTTGGACCATCACCGGGACCGCCGTTGCTTCGCTTCGCGCTGCCTTCGCGGGCGTATCCGAATGTACTGCGAATCGGCAAGGGCAAGTCACCACTGAAGTAAAAGAGACATGCCACCGCAGCAGCCGAGCCATTTTGTTCCTTTTGTTCGCTCTGCTGAGCCCCGCTTTTCTCTCGTATATTTTTCCTGGGTTTGGAATCCGGGTTTGGGCTACGCTGACTACTGAAAAGGCAGGGATTTGGCAAAAGTAGTGGACGTCGCAGTGCTGACCACTTGCCACCCTCATTTCGCACAGCCAAAGCCTCGCTGTCCCCTCTCATCAGCTGCCACCCTGGATTTAATCCAGGGTGGCAGCTGGTGTGTAATACTGCGACCCAGACAAGTGATTTCGTGCGCTTGTTGGAAATGATGCTCGCTCGGAGTGTAAGTATTTGCGGCTGTCCAAACCTTGGGCAATCTGCAAGATACATGCTCTTGCACGCACTGATCAATGTGTTTCTTGGCTGTTGACCACCACTTCCACGCGGTTGTTGTGAACAACGCCCAATCTTGCCGAGGAATCTGATCCCTTTCCCTGCAAATTTCGTTTGGGATCGAGCCATACCTTGAATGCATAACAAACTGCAAAAATATACCCCTCTCCTGGTGAGATCTCAGCTCGACCCACCTCTCAAAATGCAAGGCAAGCATGCTATCGCAGAGGAACCCCTTTGTTATGGCATCTCATAGAGGACCCCCCTTCAATGGGCAAAATGACAAAATGGAAAATGACAAAATACTGTCAGTTTCCCTTGTCTAATTGGAAACGACCATCAGACACACGACCCAACATTCCTCCTAACTCCACCAAATGTTGCACCCCAATGTCCGCCCCAACAAACTCCATACATGCCCCTCCAGGTGCACGTGTGCACCTTAGGAAATGGAGCCTTGCATACAGTATAACCTCTGCCAGATGGTTTCGCCCCATTTTGTTTGTATCGCGCTTTCATCACTCTTCCGCAGTACCGCAGATTGGGCGCAATGACGCGGATTACTACTTGCAGCCCGCGTCCCGCCGGCTGGCTGGCTGTGGGGTCCATCACGGCCTCAGAATGTGGCCCGCGCACCGGCGTCATATTTCAGTGCCTCTTGCGCGGCCGTCGCGAGGGTCGCACCCGGGAACTTGTGAGACGGCGCGAGAATCGACAGCGGAGAGGCCGTTGGCGTGACCGGTCACCAGCCGGAGCCTGCCCAGAGGGCGGGAGTCTGTTGCGGGTCGGCAGTGCCGCCATCATTGCCGATTGGACACGGGGGCCGCAGACGGCGGATGGAGGCGAAGCGTGGAGGCTCCGGGCGCTCTCGGACGCCGTTGGGTTGGCATGATCGCTCCCTACCATGTGCTCCGCACGGTTTCGGGCCAGTGGCCTCAGGACTCAAAGTGCGGTGAGAATCCAGTTTGCTGTCCCTTTGCTCTTCCCTGCCGCGGCGGGGGCCTGTGCTCGTGCGTGCCAGCCTGCTAATGCAAACACGGATTTGCGAGTTGTGGACGCGGTTCGTTTTGGTGCAAAGACCAGCCTTGGGGATTTCGAAAGCCGCAGCGCGTTTGGTGCCGCGCACACTATCCTGACTCTGGAGCTTCTTGTACCGGGTTGCGCCGGCCCCTGGGAGGCTCACGGCCCGCCGGGGGGCAGATTGTCGTCGCGCACAAGAGCATCAGGGTGGCCTTCGCGGGAAGGGAAACGCTCTTGTGGAAGTGCCCCATGGCAAATGCTTGCCTTCGCTGTTGCACTCACATTGTGGAAACGCAAAGGGCCCTTGCATGTCCTCACGCGATGAATGGTCTTCGGGGTTAGGTTGGTCGGACCTCGCCCAGTTGTCATACCAGCGCCCTCAAGAGCACGTGCTTTCTTTTCTGCCACTGGCATGTCGTAAGTGAGTTGTCCCATTGTTTGTCGCGCTGACAATGAACGCTGACTGTGGCAGCGGCGCCAAATTGCCCTCCACTGTTTTGTGCCCGACTGGGGAGAGCAGTCTCCTTCCTTACGGCAAATGTGGTCAACGTGAATGAACCTGCGGGCACCTTGTCTGACCAGGTGCGCACCTGATCCACCCTCCTTAACAAAAAGCCAACGACTTCAAGCATTACCGACGCATGGGCTTTAATGCTTGGAGCCGTTGGTTATTCTTTTACTGTTGAGGAGGGCCCGCCGGTATGCACAAAGCAAGGATTTTTAGGACGGTCCTAGAAATAGGTCACCGATCGCCACTTGTCCGCTCCAAGAAGGCACTAGCTCGGAAGTAAGTACCGCCA